GTGTCACCTTCCCCCCCCAGCCATGTCCCCAAATGTCCCCAAAATGTCCTGAAATGTCCCCAAAATGTCTCAAAATGTCCCCCAAATGTCCTGAAATGTCCCCAAAATGTCCCCAAATGTCCCCAAATGTCTCAAAATGTCCCCAAATCCTCCGATGTCCCCTCAGTGTCCTCCCCCCGCGATGGGGACATGTCCTGGGTGACACCTGGGGACACCTGAGACCCCCTGGACACACCTGAGACCCCCCTGGACACACCTGGGGACATTTGGGGACACCTGGGAACCCCCCTGGACACACCTGAGACCCCCCTGGACACACCTGGGGACATTTGGGGACACCTGAGACCCCCTGGACACACCTGGGGACATCTGGGAACCCCCCCGGACACATCTGGACACACCTGGGGACACCTGAGACCCCCTGGACACACCTGAGACCCCCCTGGACACATCTGGGGACATTTGGGGACACCTGAGCCCCCCCTGGACGCATCTGGACACACCTGGGGACACCTGAACCCCCTTGGTGACACCTGGGGACACCTGGGGACACCTGAGCCCCCCTGGGCACACCTGGGGACACCTGGGAACCCCCCTGGACACATCTGGGGACATTTGGGGACACCTGGAAACCCCCCTGGACACATCTGGACACACCTGGGGACACCTGAACCCCCCTGGACACACCTGGGAACATCTGGGGACACCTGAACCCCCCTGGACACACCTGGACACACCTGGGGACACCTGAGACCCCCTGGACACACCTGAGACCCCCCTGGACACATCTGGACACACCTGGGGACACCTGAACCACCCCTGGTGACACCTGGGCACACCTGGGGACACCTGGAAACCCCCCTGGACACACCCGGACACACCTGGGTGACACCTGGGGACACCTGAGACCCCCCTGGACACACCTGGGGACATCTGGACACACCTGGAAACCCCCTGGACACATCTGGACACACCTGGGGACATCTGAGCCCCCCTAGACACACCTGGGGACACCTGGGTGACACCTGGGAACCCCCCTGGACACAGCTGGGGACATTTGGGGCCCCCCCCCCCCCCCCTGGACACACCTGGGGACACCTCCCCCCCCCCCTGGACACACCTGGGGACACCTGGGAACCCCC